TTGTTTGTTATAAAATTACTTACCTCATAACAGCTACAACTGTTGATTTTTCACTGTCTGAATACATTCGGGCAGTTAAATGTGTTACTTCTTTGGTTGGAGTAAATGAATGAAAATTGCGTGTTCCACAGATTGTTGTAGCCAGTCCACGCCTTTCCAGCAAGAATTCCGAATGTTTCTTATATTCTTTTGTTGAGCTGAATTCCAAATGTATGTTTTTAATATTGGCAGTTACCCAATCAAATAATTTTTGTGGTGTCGTTATCTGGTCTTCCAACGGTCTTTGTAAACTAGCTCGAGCAGCAAGGCGTTTTAAAGAACCACCAATACCATCGCATGCATTTTTGCCATGCGATGTTGCAAAGTAATGCCATTCGGCGTTGATTCCAAAGTCTTCAAAATGGAAATTGAGATTTAATAAATTATATTTATTTTTATACTGTGATGATGCTCCGTCAGAAAAATATTCGATTTCCTTGATAGTTGTGCCATGTGTTTCCTTCAAAAATTCCACTAATTTCTTCTGGTATAAATGGACTGCAGTGCTGTCATGTTGGAGACAATCCGAAATAATTACAAAGTTTTCATGGTTTAAACAAATATCCAACTGATAATATGCAATGAATGTGTGTATTGTCGCCTGTTTGTTGGACCAATGATAATTTTGGATTTCGTCTTGGATAGCGAAGGAATAATTTTCCGCAAAATCGCCGACGACAACAAATTCATCAGGTCCTACATTTTCTTTAGAATATTTAAAAAAGCTGCTTTGACTTCTTGCAATAAAATCGTGAATTTGCAACTTTGGTAATCGGATTTCTAATTCATCTACAAACTGTGTTGCTGTTAAAAATGTACATTTTGAATTCAACTCAAAAGAAGAATATAAGGAACATTCGGAATTCTTGCTGGAAAGGCGTGGACTGGCTACAACAATCTGTGGAACACGCAATTTTCACTTATTTACACCAACTAAAGAAGTAACGCATTTAACTGCCCGAATTTATTCAGACAGTGACAAATCAACAGTTGTAGCTGTTATGAGGTAATTAATTTTATAACAAACAATTTAATCCGGTAGATGATCATTGGTATAATCCAACCATTATTTCTTAACCAGAACCTAATCCCATCACATCCCATCATATCCTATCCCACTAGAACATTGAACATCCTATCCCATTGAATATTGACAACTTAAATGTGTATAATGCTAAGTGTCATTGACAAAGAGTGAGTGTCCAATAACTGTTACATTTTCCAGCAGTCCAACACCCTATGTATAACAATAGCAGGTATAGCCGCTTGGCTGTTGCAGGCACGCGTGACTTGGCCGGTCGAGCCTGCGTGCCACGACGCGACGCAGCGTTCCATTCAATTAATTTTTATAAGGCCAATTTTAAAGTGTCCGTATTTTTAAAACTTGGTCCGTGAAGGGGACAAACAGGACTATATGCCCATTTTTTTCAGATTTTTAAATATGTTCCCGCTATAAAAAAATGACATTTGTTGTAAACAATTGCAAAATAAATAGTCAAAAAAATTTTTTTATTAATTGAAATAATTTTTATTTGATACTCCCATGGGTCTGCTACAAGTACCTAAAATTTCATTTTTATAACTTCTTTACTTTAGCAGCTATTATTTATTGAAAAAAGGGAGCTCTATATTTCAAACAGATGTAAAACCAACAATTTTTAAAATTTTTAAAAATCCTTCGAGATACGTTTATATATCACTAAAGACTACAACATATTCAAAGTAGAACAAAATCCGACATGGCACTCCGAAAAGTGTCCGATTTCGCATGGAATGACCCTGCTTTGATTCTTCAAAGTAAATGATGAGTAATTGAATTAAATGTACTTAGTACGTATTTAAATTACACCAAAGTACACTTTTATATCTCCAACATTTTTTGAGTTATAACTAATTGAACATGTTCAGTTTTCATTTTATTTTTTTAATTATGAATGCAGTGTGATTCAGTGTTCATTTTAGTTGCTTTTTGTAGAGTGAAGCCTTACCTTTTTTAAAAAAAAAAAAAGATGATCAACTGTTTCGGCACGTGCGAGTTTCGGCGATTGCGAGTATTGTTACGATTCTCAAAAATACATCAAAACTAGGAAACAATGCATACATTTCATTGTTTTTGCTTCGAATGCTATAAAAGTAGAAAATGATCACGAATTTGGAGCATTTGTCGTTTGACGTTCCTAACTTGTATGTTGTGAGTGAAATATTTAGTGTTAAAATAATGGAATTTCCAATTGAAGTAGGTAGGTACAGATATATATATTTGAATTTAGCCATTTTTCTTCATCTTCTATATAGTTTGTTAATACAGTTTTCGTAGCAAAAGTTTCACTTTAATAGAGTGACATTTTTTTTTAAATCCTAAGGTTCATCAGGAGTACGTGTGTTTTTAATGATGCAGTTTTATAACATCATGACACAGCATCAAAATCATGATTTTGAAAATAAACTAGAATTTTTAGAGTCGTCCTTAATGAGCCAGGATAATTATTCTATGGAGTACCAGAAAATTTTGAAAACAAAAATTGCAACTTTTAAATCCCGTTTCAGGAGAAGATGGCAATTAGCGAATAGACGACACGACCTTTACGAAGAGAAAACGAAAGAATTTATGAATCTATGAATGATTCTTCATCTGATTCTTCATTCGTAATTTAAATACGTACTAAGTACATTTAATTCAATTACTCATCATTTACTTTGAAAAATCAAAGCAACAATAAACGATGATTATAATTTTGGATGATTTTAAGATTGAACGTTTCAAAATCATGTAGTCGTATCAAAAATCGACAATTGATAAAAAAAATCACACTAAGTCATGGCCCATGTGTCCCATTAACCATTAGTGAATCATTATTTCATTGTGGGTATATTTGTATAAAACCACTTTTTGCCGCGTTTGGCATGCAATGGCCCCACTGTACGACGATTGGAAATCTAGGAATGTAAGTAAACATATTTACTATCGCACTAGTAGGGCTTAGGACCCAAGAAGTTGCTTTATTCGCAATTTTGATTACATGTCCGACGATTAAGAATTTTCTTTCGATTTGCAGTCTCGAGACTGAGAATTTCATTTATTGGGTTCCCACTGTGTTTCTTGGACATTTCTAGCCCTGCCAACTGAGTAAATCCCCCTTGGAGCCAGTGTACCGTGAAAGACGACATTTAAAAACGATACGAATTTCTCCATTTCGTGCTGTACGAAAGATGAACATGCCAATTCTAAAGTGATGCTCATGTTAGGAATCATTGCTGTACCAGAACAAGTGAAATAAAGCAAACTATTCATTTAATCATCAATTTCTATCACCTTCAAAGTAATCATCATTGCTTACGATAAAGTGCCACAGTTCTTTCCATGCTTCGAAGCATTCTAAGAAGCATGACAAAAGAGTTGATACAAATATAGTGTAAGGAATAGAGCTTACTTTGTAGGTAATGAAATAAAAATTTATGAATAAATGAATAATTGAAGTTTGAACAGGTCTAGGTAGCATATTTCGTACACTTGATATACCTGCAAAATTCGTGTTATTATTCGTGTAGCAGAGGTTATAGGATTAGACAATAAAACGACGCACATACTTTTTAGGTTATGTTTAATACATATAGTTGCATCATGGTACTGAACGCTATTCAACTGTTATACTGAAACAAAAGATGGTGTGCACGTTTGCCAACGAGGGAAAAACAAAAAATTTCCAACACGTGCATGTTTGCCAACATGGAAATAAGAAACATTTCCAACAATTCGTATATTTCTATTTATAACTCATCTAACTAAAAATTTCTTTCAATAGAGTGGCTAATACCCTGATACTGAACAAGGACTTGAGAACTCCTATAATTTTAAATATTTTAGTTGAAAATAATTGTGTATACTCTTGGGAACACGAAGCTAAAACACAAATTGAATAAGAAAAATAACCTCTGACAAAAATTACTAGCAATAAGAAACTGCTGGCGCCACTGTCGTCTCGTGGTGATACTGTGATTTTTTTCATTTCGCGCTCTTGTCGTCTGTTTTCTACAGCATATCAAGCCTGTGTCGGCCTGTTCGATTCACGAGTATAATTAACGATCTGTTTCGACTTCTAACAGGTTATGGGCCCAGATCCGGACTCAAGAGTGAATCGTTTCGTGAAAAAGTAATAACGTACATCAGCGAATAGCGACGAGTAAAAGTTTGGTTAACCACACGTACGAACCATGAGCTCATTAGCAGTCGCAAAGATCGAAGTTTTTGCATAAAAGAACTACGACACATGAAAAATTCAAATGGAAACTCTATTAATAAAGAACGATGGGACTACGTCAACGATGAAAAGGTAAAGCTGGAAATTATCAAAAGTGATGCGCAGTTGGCAAGACGCGGCGTTTGCGGTACGACAGAAACATGATGTTAATGCAAAATCCAATATAATTTTGTCCACAAGCCCCAAAACTTAAAGTGTAAGCTTAAACTGGAAACGATATAGCAATTCAACAGACTAATCCAGACCAAACATTCTTCTTCGGTTTATTTTAATTCACAGTTTTTAAAAATTAGACACGGTACAATAGCCTCTTTTATTCAGGCTCATAAAAGTCTGAACTCTCTGATGGAAGGTCGAACGGTTGATCGACCGTCATTAGCCTGGCTAACACTTGAGAGTTAACTTCGTTCGTATAACTAGCTATCGCAATTATCGCCATTGACGTGCGTCCAGAAATTGAGCAACGAAGTGAGAAGTTAATAGCTCGGATAATCCATATTGAAGGGAACAGTGTACCAGGCCAACTAACAACGTGCACGAAACATGCAAACTAGGTGGTAATTTCATCTCATCGATCAGGGTAATAAGTTATAATGCGGTCGATCTGTCTATGATTATCGTGGTTCGTTTCCATGAGATTACGAGTTGCTCGCTGTCACAATTCCCAAGACGGGTGAATTTTTGAGTTATTTAAAAACTTACCAGCTCGGTGGGCATAGTATTGCAAGACCTGAGGGGCAGGTTGTAGGTTATAGGGGTGGGTTGGCTCCTGTACTCCTGCAGGCAAGAACTGTTCTTTGACAATCCCCGTGGATACACCAGACCGTGGAAATCGATGTTGCCCTCAGTCGAGATGTAAACGATTATTGACTCGCTCGCACATTCGATTTGCACGGTGCTCGCTATCGCCGCGGTCGCTGAAAATTTACAAGAAAATATACATTTAACAACATCTTATATCTAACGTAGTGTTAAGTTCGTCGCGATATGAAAAGGTGCAGAACTAGAAACTAGCACGATTGTTAGCACACAGTTTGTATATTTATTCTCTATAACCTATTACATTATAGTATAACCGCGTGGCTCGCAGTCCGGCGAACTGCCCATCGCAGCGTCGGCGCACGACATGTGCGTTTGCAGCGCCTCCTGGCGATTCCTTTTAACAGGGTCTTCTACTGCGAAGTGTTTTTTCGGCTATTTTCGAGAATTTTTTGCGAATAAATTATAGCACCTTTTGCAGTCAAATTTACAAAATTTATTTATACATATTTCGGTGGCATTTTAACATTGTTTAGGCGACAAAAAAGTTAAAATTTTCCAAATTATATTCTTTAAGAAAATGCAAAACAAATATCGGTTTTTTTAAAAGTTCACACTAGTAGACCCCCTTAACCTTTCTGTATTTAGTTTTTAATTAGGCAACAAGTTACGTAGTAGGTCTACAAATTAATTTTTGGGATCGAAGACCTTACATACGACCTTACGTAAGATAAAAAGAACCATTAACACTGGACAAGTAGGAACACGGTGTTAGTTCAACGAGTAAGACAAATAGCTAGTAATAACGAAATTTCTACTTTTCCTTGATTTCTACGAATATGTGTTTTATGAATTGTGTCAAATTAGATTTTCCATTAGCATTTGTATGATTCTGTTAATTCTCCTGCAGTGCCTTAATTCTGCTCTTTAAAAAAAAAAATAACCCAATCTTTTCTACGTTTATTAAAAATTCAGATTTCATTAATTTTGTATGACTTATTGATTTATCGATACATCGATACATTTTTTACTGTAAATTTCGTGACGAGGTTCGACTCACAATCGGTCAACATCATTCCCAAGCATGAATGACATAACGGTACTTATCGTCGATTAATTGCAAACAATTCTTTTGTTCTAACGACATCCGATTAGAAACGGTTCATATTGAGCAACAATCTTTAATTCCGCAAGCGTTGTACGGTAATTTATTGTGATGCGAGCCACGTTTCGAGCCGCTAACGTCGAGTTTAATAACCTCTGATTCATAAGAATTTTCAACTCGTATTCGGGCTGAAAATAACAGCGAGCGATTACCTTTACGACTTGAAATAGGATACTCTTTGTAGCCAGGAGACAACGATCTCTGTTCGATGATTCTCATTATGTAATGTTTAGCATCCGTATCGGTAGACTTTTATTTTCGAGCTCTGAAGCCTAACTGTGTAATTATTTTCAGAAAAGGATAGGATACTACCTCTTGCGTGGCGTGTTTGAACATTCCTTGGTATAACTACATCGTATCGATTACACTACTAGAAAAAAGAAACATTCAACGTTGTTCTGTTTAAAAGCTAAATCATTTATTCAGTGTCCCGTTATTTCGTGACACAACTGAAAATTAAGTTTAATACATGTTTTACAATATTAACACGTTCATTTCCAAGATCAAAACCGTATAACATTTTGCAAAAGTAAAATTTTGATTTTGACCATTCTAAGTTACATAACCTAAAATTTGTTTCGGTACCTATTTTCGTAACCTTGTTAAAATTCACAAATCCTATCTAAATTTATTTCCCTCAACGTCTTAACTTGAGAATTAATTTTTCTAGCATCATAATGGTAAATCCTGTCGCCCATATGAGTGACGTGGCAGCCAAAATGTTAAATGTGCACCAACCATGAACAATACGTAGAATTAAACGTTCTTCAGCATTATTTTTGCAGGAAAACGAACTGGAGTTTCCTTGCTCTGTCCTAGCAGAGCGTTGAAAATCATAAAATACTTGATGAAACTTTTTGCTTTACAAGGAGTTGAAGAAATCTGCTTGACAGTGAACACGCAATATTACGTGTCTGTTTATTCACGGTTTATTAAAAAACGATCAGAAGCCTATTTCTAACAACCGTCTAACCACCATTACACCTTCTCGTCACAACAGAAAAATTAGCGAACATTTTTGTCTACTCCCTGGTCATTCCAAAACCAAGGAGTTACGAATTAGAATTATCTGCCCTCTATGCATACTGCGGGTCATCAATAAAAAATATTTAAAGAGTTACAACACGATGAAAATGAACAAAAAAAATAAATTTCTTTTTATTCGTTGAATCGATAGTTTATCGTTTTAAAAATAATATCCACGCATATGCATCATGTATACGTTGTTGCAAATCCAGCATATCATTTACCGGCGACGAGTAGACCATTACCATTAAATGACCCCACAAAAAGAAATCTAAAGGATCGAGGCCAGGTGATCGAGAGGGAAGCCATTTTACTACTGGGCCTCCTTGGAGGTTTCATTTAAATCTTGTTTCAGATTTCTACTACGAAGCAATCTTTCTTGGTATCGTAGGTCTTTGGAAGTTTGATTAAAAAGGTATGAGAAAAACACGAAACACGAAACGAACAGTAAATTATTATACAATATACTGGAACGAAAGAAGGATGTTATAAAATGGATGTAAGTACATGCCCATCATTATTGTTCGTCGCGATATGGGAAGGTGCAGAACTAGGGACTAGCACGATTGTTAATACACAGATTGTATATTTATTCTCTATAACCTATTACACTATAGTATAACCGCGTGGCTCGCACTACGGCAAACTGCCTATCGTCGCGTCGGCGCACATGTGCGTTTGTAGCGCCTCCTGGCGATGCTTACTGTACCCAATAATTATATGTACATATAATGTATACCACAAATATGATGGAAATGTTATTAAAAAAGTGATTAAAGTAGAAAGAACATAGAGTAAAACATGAAAAATTGTATGCTTCGATTGTTCTTAACTTTTAAAAAACTGACAAAAATGTTTTCAAAATTTTTTTATTTAAATACGCAGATATTTTGTTATGTATGTGCGGGCTGTAATCTCGAAATTACGATGAAGTCAAAATGATATATTGTTATTTTCGCAATGGATTTAAGTCTGCATACAGCTCTCGTAATGTTGGAAAATACAGTGAATATTAAACGTCGAAAGAGTTATTCACTTAGATCCATCGATAGTTGCATTCCCTGCATGGCCTGTTGACAGCTTAAACCCTTTGTTTGCATCGAAACTTACACTGCAACAAATACTAGCGTCAATAGGCCGCCTAACTCCGTTACTACAGTATCGATCCTCACATAAACGAAAAAGCATCGCTCCAGGGTTGGTTTGTTTATCTTTCGTTCAGTGGAGACGAAATTCGACACCAACAGATATTTATACAGGGTGTCCCAGCTAAAGTGTAACAGTCGCGATACTGCAATAACTATTGATGATACGGAAAAATTGTTTATATGAAAATTGCAGGATAAAATAGGATCTTTATTCTGGCGTAAACGGAAATTTTATTTATGTTATTAATTTCAAAGATACGATGATGAAGTTTCGTTTTTTAAATGGAGCTATATATTTTTTTTTGGATCATGCGATAGTGTTATTCAAGACGAATTTATTAACCTGCAATTTATTTACCCGATTTTCATTAGTTTTCAAGATATAGCGCTTGGAAATTTACTGATTTTCGGCGAAGACGTCTCGGCTTGAGTGGCAAGTCATAAAAGCGGCCCTATTGTTGCGCTGTTTGACTCCGCCTGTTGAAACCGATAGCAAGGGTCTACGCTCGGAACGGCAGGCCCGAAGAGTCAGAAACATGAAAAGTATTGCCCATCACGATTTAAGTTTGTCGCATCGAGGATGGTGATGTCGCTAATAATTTGAAGCTGAATTTTATTATACAAAAAATTTATTCTACGTGTCTCCTGCTATTCGAAATACATGTTTCAATTCGTTTTACAAGTTTCTTTTCCACGTTTATTAGAATGTCCGTTGGAATATTTTCACACACAGCTTTAAGTCTGCAGTGCTTTGTAGCGGTGTTTTATAACTCTTGTTGTATGATGGAAAAACTTGGACCTTGCCAAACATAAATAATACATCTATTACATTTCCAATCATCCAAATTATTAGCGACATCACCATCCTCGATGCGACAAACTTAAATCGTGATGGATAATATTTTCGCATCGATTTACGTTCACGGCGAAGAATGTAACAATACTAGCAGCTGACTGTGCCATCGATCGACAAGGTTCAGAAAAACAAATGCCGAACAGGACCCCGATTCTACGTCACTCGCCTCGCTTATCTCTCTCACACACAGCGGAGACAAAGGGCAGCATCGGTACTTACGTGTTCGGCCAGCTAGTCAGTCGTAAAACGCGTTCACGCGACACATTTTAGACATATTTGATTCAGTTATTGTTGCGACGCGAGCAGGACCTCGCAATTTAGCCTTTATGGCAGGGTTAGTTGGCGACAGTCAAGGCCCTCGGTCGAGCCGTTGGCCGGGCCTGCAAACGACCCTCAGCCTTTTGTTTCTCAAGGGTAACCAAGACGGAGTTTTCTAGACAGCTGAAATGCACGTGCGCGGCTAGCGCGCACTTTCACTTGGCTAGCTTTCACTTAATTGTTACTAACATTCAAATTTACTAGAAAACTCCGTCCCAACCCCGGAAAGGGCTTCCTCCCCAGAGCCTGCCCTTTCCGCCAGTACAGTCAAACCACACCCACACAGAACAACTACACCAATCATTCAGAACCAACGACACTCCTACAACGCGACACATTAGCCAATAACATTCCACCATCCATGTAAATACCGACATCAGACCTGAAATAGACATTCCACGTTACACAGTCAAAAAGTCAACTATGCTCGTTCAGTACTACATTCATTTATTCCAACTATTCCGATAGTAATAACTTACTCTTCGGAAAGCGTTCCTTTCGCGCCACTCCAATTTTACCGGTCGCGAGAGTCCACGCAACAGTTCTGTATTAAGTAGCATGTAAGAAATACAGTGGTATAAACAATCAGCGAATACTTATTAAATTCCTGTTTACATTTTTAAATTGAAGTGTATTTGAAAAATT